ATAGTCATACTTGTAACGGACATCAGGGGCATCTTTTACTATGATATAGTCTCCGAAAATGAAAATATAAATGCTGCCCGCTATTTCGACTCATGGACCGTTAGCGCGGCAACTGAACGTACGCGTTCTGGCTACACAACACCAGACCCCAGAACTGTGTTTTATATATGTAAAGAGAGAGAAGTAGAAAGGCAAAACAAAACAGTTATACTATTAATCACGCACTACAAGCCACAGATCGAGTACAAATATTTTCGAATGAATCAAAATTTACTTAGCCTATTCTTTAAATCTACTTCGTCCTAATCCGAGCAAGCCTTTCTTAGTCTGAACATATCAGTTATAAAGGTCTCCGGCATTAGTGAAATTTGAAATTGCGGTTGCTTGCGAAGTACATATACCTATATGATCATTAGTCAGCTGGCGAGGTCGCCACTATTGGTGAGATGAGTAGCAGTACGTACGTACTTTCCTAGTTCTGTTCTTTGAAGTACTAGCAGTAGTCAAACTAGCACCGACTTATAGTGGCATGATTCAGCTGTTTTTATCGAATGACGTCGGCCGCCGCCAGTGACTTTATACTTTCTACCATTGTTAGCCTAAAATTAAATTTTTTTATGCATTTGTCAATTGTATAGGTAAAATGATACTAGAATATATATCTGATGGGCCTACGTTTATTGAATGTGCGTATATGGAATGCTAGAAATATTAGACAATTTATACTGTTTATAAGGTCGCTTGTAAAAGATAACATGGCCTCACGAGAGAAACAACAATTCCTGCTACGTCCCCAGTATTTGAACACTACGACTAAAACGGCCTCCAGGAATTTATCCTAAGTGGTTTTACTTAAGTCCTGATGAAATAACTTAGCGTCTTAGACTACCGTTCACAACACAACTTCATCACAAAAGTAGTAACTTATTGGACCGGAAATGGAAAAAGCACACTGAACAATCAACAGTCTACTACTTTCCTACTGAATCAACTCGCTCCGAGAAGACCGACTTCTCATAACAAGGGTGTTTTTGAAAAGAATAGAACAGCATAGAAAAAAATTACCATCACTACCTAGAGTATTGAAAAGCTTACCTAGTCAAATATTTTTCTTGCGATCCCTGCAAAAACAAAACATGCACCAGTGTCTAATATTAATAAACAAAGTTCTGCGCGACTGAGCGTAATGTCAATGCTATCGGCAGTTACCGATTTTCATTGTAAGAAATGCAGGATCTTTAAATCGTGAAACTATTTAGCTAACGTTTGTGTATCGTGCCATTATGCCCCTGAGTTCATCGAAACTGTTGACGGCAGTTGTGTTAGCTTTACAAACCGATAACAAATGGAAAAGTGATACTAGCCAAAGCTGTAGATTTTAGGACGAAGCCCCAGCTGCAAGCACGAATACGGTTTGTGCATATACGAAAAAAATTGATATGTTTTTATACGCTCCACCAAGCAACCAGAGTGGGTAGCAGAGTGGCTATTATGCATTCGATTATAGCACAATCCCATGGGTCGAAATGAAACAGCGGATGCCCTTGGCTAGTATATCTGGCAACATCAGATTCCTACTCTGCGAAGTAGCTGCGGGGGCTTATGGTCATGTCAAATGTTGTGGCACGTCGTTGACCCGGTGATGAAGTGAATACTGAACAAATGAAGTTGAATCAAAATAAACAGAGAACCGTGTGGCTGCTATCACTAACGGCAATTACAGATCGTTTTTATAGCTGCTCAATGAGGCAACTGAAGGACACCCGACAGAAATTCTTAACTGTGGGGCGCCGATCGAGACTATGAAGTGTCGACGGTTGATGGCGCACATGTACAGGGTACCATTCACTACATTTGCTTTTTAAGTATGTCACGCCCGCGAGGTAAGCAGGGCACCTTACAAACAACTGACAAATGACGTATGACACAATGGTGGCAAAATCCGCCTAGAAATGCAAAGTAAGCCACTACCAGACTGGACAGCAAAGGACGAGGCTCGGTAAGCTTTTAAACATAGACAAATATAAACTCGAACAGAGCCAAAAAAAAAAACACATCATAGAACACATGGTCAAACGTTATCGAGTTATACCTTCGCGCCTCATGTGAGGCTCGACGAAGATGAATAAATACAAAAAATGGCTGATATGAAAATTGGAATGAGCAGCAAAGAAAATGGCATTGCTCTGTTTTTGTACGCATATTCTACTGGGGCGTCTGAAATCCCTATTCTTTCCTAAGGCAAATGCGACCAATTAAAAACAAATATCAATCGAATGAAAGTGGTTTGAAACGATTAAATGCTATAGCACACGACATATATTTGATGTTTGTGCCCAATTGAATCTTGAGCAAGTTCCAAGTTCAACATGCACTCTGTTAACAGGTAGAATCAAACGCTCGTTTCTTCATCTATAGAAACGAACGAGCTTTCTCCGTAGTCGTATACCTGATTTACGGATTAGTCACTGAGAAGCCCGGTTGTGTACAGCTGCATTGGGGCACCAGTACGCGGACACGTTACCTATCACGTAAAGCAACGATGGATATTATGGCATCAACAATACTGACTAATCTATATGTGAAGGCGCAGCCCTTCAGGTCCGTTACGACGAACGGGCTGTGTCAGCGTATAGTTCAAAGTAGATTAGCTCATACATGACACATGACAAACCGGGAGAGATAGGGTTTTGGAAGAGACAGAGAGAAACCCTCAATAGTCGAAAGCAATGAGGTTAAACAACTAATCTCTATCCATTCAGCCGTTAAGAGGTCTGTTGAAAACACGCACTGCCGGGTGATTACCGTGTAGACTTTTCTACGTTAGGCGGCAAACGTATCGGGGTCGCTGACCAAGCGGCTACTGTTAACATCGGTGATACGATAGATCCCAACGTTCAAACCTCCCGTTATCAAGACGTTCTTTATCCATTGACAAATGGTGACGCTGCTACAATCCTCGTGCCTGTATTGTGGCAAGGAAACGTTTTGCCACTGGGAAGAAATATCGGTGTGATACACAAAAAACAAGTTGTAACTTGACGTATCAACTGCTGTTGTCGAATGTCGAGTAGTTATAAAGGTTAGGTATAAAAAGAGTTATACAAACAGTCGTAGCTAAAGGCGTTATCGGTTTGAGGTATAGCTGCTTTTGCCGAATCCGCAGACTGATAGATACCGGATTTGGTTTGCAGTTAAATCTATTGAGTTCGTAGGTCAACCCGCAGTTGTATGTAGTTCGAGGGTGGCCACGCTGCCCACTAAATCGATACGTTGCAAATGCATTCAAGAGATCCCTCGGCAAAGCAAACACAGCGGAACGTTGAGCTTCAAATACTACTTGCGTTTTTTTTCCCTAAAGTGCAACCTTGAGTCAGAAGGACGTTCGTCTCTTTGTTTCCGAATCTGCATTTAAAAAGATGGCATGTACTTAGATAGAATCTGGCGGGACTGGAATTTAGAGTGATCCTCCTGTTACCATTTGCAAGCTTCAACAAACTTAAAAGAAATCCTGCCACGACCAAAGCCGGGCCATCTCCAAGAAAACTGTCAAATACTCGTGACATGGCTCTTTAAAATGAAGTTTTCATTAAAATTGTCATCGAAATCAAGTTGAACAAAATCAAAAGCAATTAATTTCACTTAGATAGGCTGTCACAGTCCTTTATTTTGGCACCGGAGCTAAGTTGGGCTTGGAACTCAGATATTAATTAATTAGACAAAAACGCCATCTACTTCCGGTTTACGCTTTTGGTCGTGGGGGGGGGGGGCAGGCCGATTTAAATGCGTTGGTTTATGTGCGTCATGATAAATGGCAGAAATTGCTAGACTCAGTAACTGAGAAGACTCCAAAGCCATCTAACGCTTGGGCCGAAATAATAAAGTGCGATATTCATGCCAAATTGGCACCACATATCCTTATAGCTTTTTCTTATAGATAAATAATACTCCAATAAGGATTTGATCTCAATCATGATTATTATATATTTGTGTGTACGCTAATAAATAGTACTGCTGACCATTGCTGTGGTTGGTTACTTTAACAGACCCACTGGTTTCATTGTGAGGAGCTTTGCCAGTCCTTTTATAGACCTCAAATCTCTAGATAGATAAACAGATAGAAATCAATGTCCAGCTCTATCAGCAACGAGTAGCATAGTTTCACCGTGGGATCCTAAGAGAAATAAATAGCTTGTGCCAGCCATGGTTGAAAAAACTAAGTGGAACAATTCAAGCTGAATGTACTGATCATAATTAACTATTTAGAACATCTATTGCAACAATGCTGGACGATGCAGCAGTTTCTTGTGAAAACATTGCGGTGTTCCCATCCAGTTGGAAACGGTGTTCTCAAACTGTAACTAATGATCTGAACAAATCTAAGCTGTTAAAACGTACCTTTTAGGTTTACAGTCTGATATGGTAAAACGTTTACTGGCGGGCCTTATTTAAAACTGACCGTTAGCAATTCTACAAGTAATAAATGATAAAATTGAAATTTTTCAAGATGATGTTATCGGAATGATTAGGTAACGACCCGAATCTCAAATCCTTTATCTGCATCCTTGAGACAAGAACAATTCATACGTATGGTTCGCCGCTACGGTCACAGTGGTACTATGACAGCGATTACGATAGACTGTTACGCGACGAGGCTTCTCAGTTTCTAGGTATCAAACAAATACCTGTACGGCCTGTCAAACAGCTCTCATACGGTGGACATGTATAGTGCATAAACTTAGTGCATTTGACTCCATGGCTCTTATTTGTGTCTAGATCTGCAAGCGCAGATCTGATAACGATCCGTTACTATTGACTAGTTTGTTTGACCCTATTTATCATTAGAGGCGTTGTTTTCCCTTGCTCGGATAAAATTACCGATACAGAACCCATTTCTATATTACAGACTACTTAACAGTGTGGAACTTCGAAGCAGCAATACATTCAACATAGAAAATATAACACAACTAGTATATAAATCTGTATTTATTTATCACCAGTGCTATCTATAATACAACGTACCTAAATGGCACATTAATGTCTATATGCTACCTAGTTTATCCATTATATTTTCGTGTGTCTGGTATCATATCTGAGTTGGTTTTCTCCATATGAATTTGTCTGGACGCACTCTAAGGTACCCTTTTCTTCGCCGGAGCTTTTTCTACGCCACTAATCCGTTACGGCAAATCCAATACGAATCAACTTCCCTTAACACCAGTCAGCTAGTTACGTTAAAACCATGCCGCGCACCATTCTATACGTACTTCTTGCAAAATCTCAATACCTCTGACCGCTCCCCACGCAGGATTCGAAGCCCTGCTGCTGCCAGACCTCTTTAACATACGGTTTTTTTTTTCTGACTCGGAATGGAAATTTCGGTCATGTAATTTGTCATATATACATCATATATATAGCATACATATCTATGATGCGTTTTTCTATCTAGTCGTTGCTTTTTTGCGTCGTATCTATCTGTACATGAATATTATACAGTATCATTTAGCTTATAAAGATGACATTGTCTAATACTATAATTGTTCTCCTACTTGCGGTAGATTCACTTGTAGCTGCCTTCCTGCAGGTCTAAATAGCTAACGGAACAATAATAAGGCCACGCCTATTACAAACGTCCTAATAGCAGTAGAAAAGTCTTATCTTGATCGAATAAAGGGACTTATGATGAACGAGCAACTCTTTCTATGTTCATACACGCGGCGTAGACGTCCATTCTACTAGTAAAAAAGTTACACACATTTCACGTAAACAACTATGCTTGTACCATAGTGTTGTATTTCTCGTCGAAAACGCCAACTTACGCCGGATGAGAACGATGCAGCCAAAAGAGATCTTCAGTGTCAGCCTGTACAAGCCTTGTCGGTCCTTTCTCTGTCCTTAACTTGTTCACCACTATACGTGTGTAGTGCTTCATCGAACAGTTGTCCAGCACTACCTAAGTGAGCTCCGTACTTGCGGCCACCCGTTTTCGTGTTTTGCGACAACGCTTCTGTCTATCGACAACGATGTTCCTTCCGCTGTACACGAACGATCGATATTTCTACCCATCTACAACTTGGTAGATAACGGTGCTACACGTTAGTAGCAGTTACGGCGTTATTGGTACGAGCCATAAGCACGCCGTAGTAATCTTGATACGCTACTACCACTACTCGGTATAATAAGATAACAATGTCTTTCTTTTAGGGTAAACTGTCGCTTTTGGTGATTTAAAAAAAAACCGCCTTCTTTTCTAGTTGTGGAGTGTTAATTTTTAGCTCATGTATTGTTAATAACATGCAGCGATCTATCTTGATTATTCACTCTGTCTTTTTTCTTGCTCGTATTTCATGGAACTAGTTTATTCAATTGCCCCACCTGTAATACTATATGACCGTTAAGAACTATGAGTTCAGAAACTGTGATAACAATAGCACTTGACGCTTTCTAGCATGGTGTATATATGTACATGATCGTTTTTATAGACGTAATATATGGAACCACAATAAATGCACCATACACAAATAATGGCTGTTGTGTACATCCCGCCTGTTAGCCCCTAAGCGCCCTGACAGCGTACGGGTCCAATTATAAACGCTCCGCTTTGTCTGTTTATCTGCGTATGCGCTTAAGTCTGTGTCTAATAGGCCAATAACAATACGTCAGTTGATCCGTGTCATTACGTTCGCTCCTACCATAGCTTTGTCGCATTGTTAGGTATTTACTTTTTGATGTAGTTCCTAAGGGGAATTTTGCAGGTTTGTCTGAACTCGTACTTGACAATCTCAGTGCCATGAACGTAAAATTTGTGAAACATGATAATTGAATCATTTGCCCTGTTCCTAGTTATGCACATCGAGTGTATAGTCGTCATTGTTACGAGTTAGGTTTCTGACAGTTAACGTATTTCGACGTGTCCGTGGTCTTTGTAGGGAGAGATGACGAGGTAAATTTAAGCTGATCTTGGCCGGAACTTCATCCAGATATTTGTTAGTATGTCCGTCTCCGTACCAGCTCAGTAAGGCCGAAGTTCCAGACAGATAGGCAACTTCTACAACCTACCAAAACATTTTGGGACAACGAGCGAACAAATAGCCTGATATCATCGAGAGCTTAAAGCGTGTTACAGGTGCGACAAGAACCCGCATACGATTAATGAGTTCGCGTCGTGTAGCGGCAGTAAATTTGGTCAGGAGACAAGTAAGCGTAAATCCCGCAAATAAAAGATTATAGCCAAGCACGATGGTGAAATTACCCAGCCAACGAACTCTTCCAAAGTTGCCAAGAAGATCAAAATCTGTCAAGCCGACCACGCGAGAAAGAAGCGGTAGAGCTGAACTGAGAATAGCAAACACGGCGCAGTTTAGGATGACGGCTGTCAATGGGCAGGAGTTACGGCGTGGCCGAAGTCCTGTCATGTTCGAATAGAATCCAACAAGCGACGCTCCCCAAAGATAAAGTATGAGCAGGATTTCCAGTGCACAGCCAACAGTGCCTAGGCTAGATAGCGACGCAATGCCAAGCGCTGGCTCTCGGTCTTGCATGACGATCGGCAAAGTTTTCACACCAAAAAGAAGCTCTAGGATGTTTCGAACGACAAGCAGAAATGAATAGATAGTGAAAACGAGCAGAAGCGCCATAGCGATTGGGTACAGTAACGTCCTCAGGGCTGATCTCTTGCGTTGATGTTCGAGTTCGATAAGGCGCTTAATCGCTTGACTGTGCCGTTCTGCCAGTGCATTCAGGTCCTCTGTCGGAATATGAACCATAGCAACGTTCTTCGGCAGCACGTCCATCTTGTGCCGTAAGCACTGCTCTTCCTGAACCGCCACATAGTAGTCTTCATCGAGGTCTTGAAGGAACGCTGGTTTGGTGATCCACTCCGATATAACGGTAAATAGCCGCGCGAAACCGAGTGGAGTGCAGATTAGCAGGAGAAGGCAACCAAAGAAGCTTACGATGGAGTAAAGAAAGGGCAAAAACCCAGACGTGAACATGTACTCGAGCGAGTACGATGAATCGATGACCATCGACAGTACGCATAGCATGCCGACGATTGTTGTAATAACAAGCATAAGAACAAGCCCACTCTCGTAAACGCGAGGCAGAATTCCTCGTCGGGACCCCGGCAGGCCTTCCGACTCGGTGAACAGGTACGCAAACGGCAACAGGCCAAACAGTGAGATGTTGCTACACAAAAATATAGCATTCCACAGGCCCTGTATGAGTGAACTGTTCAACCACTCCCAGTAGTAACTGGTTGGGCAGAGCAGCTTCACTTCGTTACTAATGATCGACAGCGGGAGGAGAAGGGCAGCCCCCGTGGAGGTTGCCAAGCTAAAACTGCACATGTACAGCGATATCTTATAGACGATCGCATCCTGGGCATCGTTCTCGTAGTACGACTCCTTTTTCTTGCGAAAACAGTCGATGATGTAGTAGCAGATCATGTATAATAAGAGGAAGAACAGCAATCCGAGCGTGTACTCGCGGACAGCATTGTGAAATTGTTTTTCCTGTTCGTCCATCAGTATGGCTGCTGTTCTGGTCATGACCATGGAGGCTGACGAGAAGCCCGCGACGCCCCCTGAGTCGCCGCTCAGGCAGGCGACGGTAGGACCACCTTCCGTGCAGGTCTCACTCGACATTTTCCCTCTCCCTGTTTTGGCTTAAGATACCACATCACACATGGTACTAAGCACGGTACCAATGCTTTGTTCGTAATTGACGGCGACACGCTTGACAATGACAGCGACTGCGGCAACGATAGAGGCAACGGTATCTCTACTATGCACATGACACCAATTTCAAACTAGATGACAAGACACAACTGATCGAACAATAAATGGCGACGTTGTAAAATCTTCACTTTCTCGCTTCTCAATCTGTCGCTCCTATCCGGCCAACAAAGCTGCCGTAGAGCACAAACGCCACAGATTGCTATTTGTTGTTGCAGTGTTGACTTGGCCCATTATCGTCGTTTGTCTTGTCATATATATATATATATATATATATATATATATATATATATATATATGCAGTTACGTATATATGAGTAGATTTGAGACGTAATCTGTTATCTGTACGGGTAACCGCGATTATGGCCCTCACCGTAAGATGACTGACCTGCTGACAACTTCTATATAGAGTAGCGGCAATCACTAGCGTAAGCAGTGCAATAGAACCCTTCGTTGTAAGTAAGGTAACGCTGATCTAGCTCAGTCAGCGATTCATCTACTCGGCAGTATTCGATCATTCAGCTCGTCAGCGATGTATCCAACTATACAGCTGTTAGGGGATCTTGCCTGAGTTCGATCTACTGCTCGCTCCTCACTCATACCCAATGTCAGAACACTCGCCTCTAGAATACACACATGATTGTTGGAAATGGCAATTAAACACTTCCATAGGTATCATACACAGACGAGAATGCTGTGAAGGGGAAAGGGTGTTCCAATCGTGTTCCGTCGATTAACGGCGCGGCGGCTCGCAGACAGCTTCGCAGCACACGAGACGCAAATGATCCCAATAGGTCGGAAAGCGACATTTCGTTAGTGACACGAGAGAAGCAAGAGGAAGGGAAACCGCGCGAATTGCTAGCAAAAAATATGATAGACAAGTTAATTCGGAAACGGAGATAGGTCAGCTTCAAAACAAATGGATAAGCCGTGATTACAAATATATAAAAGACTAAACCATATATAGTTTTTAAAATTAACGCAGCATAACGAAATCTTATTATTATTGTTGTTGTTGTAACTTTTCGGAGCTGCCCTATTTCTCTGTTTTTGGTTGTGGACGCTAGCGTGCTATGTTATGGGCAAGTTTTGACCGTTTGTACTAGATGGTAAAAGGAAGGTAGTAAATAGATTCGGCACGTAGTGGTAGTTTCGTATTATAGTAAACGTCTGCAAATTTGTTAGACGGCCACCTCGAATTGATTTTGCACCCCTGGCACACTTAATCTATGGATAAACTATTTTTTGGTAACGTCACGACGTTAACCATTTTAGCTTTTTATTTTTTTTATCACATCAATGCTATTTTTATCACGAGCGGGGTGTTTATAGCGTGTTAATTGCTTTATGGCGAGGTCTAAGCTTTATAGTATACCATACGACAACGAAAGGAACGGTAATATTTTTTCATTTGATTCTAGTGCACGTTCAGATGCACGAACGGACAAAAAAAATGGAACACGTAAATTTAAAAGTTTGTTAATTGGTGCTGGGTAAGGGGTAATGATTGTATTGCAGCTCGTTTACCTGTCAACGTCACACAACAAGTTAATGGATAGCATTTGCATTGACGGGTTATATGTAAGTTCCTGTAAGTTAGACTGGTTAATATCTATTATGCCATTCGATAATGACCCAGCGTGATCTAGGCCGCTCGTACCTAATCCCAACACTGTCCTTTCTGGCATCGTTGGCCAAACGCATTGTGGAAAACAACACGTTAGCTCAGTAAAGCAGCTTGAATGGAGCGTTCCCTCCAACACGAATATCTAAGAGATTTGTGTTACTGGCCACCTTAGCTAGCTTCATCTTAACACTATTTTACAGGAAGATCTATAAGCAAAATTGAGATCAGCTCACTTTGAATCAACCGCTAAATCACAAGGAAACTGTAAGTAACTGCACATCCATCGCGCCACCGCCTGAATCCTGTACTGCATTCGTATAAATAAGCAACAGGCAAAGCCTGTCAAACTTATTCTGAAATAAATATGACTGACCAATAGAAAACTGCAGTCACTATACAATCGAGTGCCAGCATTATACACTATGTATGGAGCTTTATTTGATAAATTGCGTATTGTTATTAGGACTACGAAGCCGCATTTGTGCAAGAAATCAGTGATCTATTGTCAACCGGCTCGTATAAATCTACCATCTGTTCCATTTACCAAAGGTATCCTAGGGGCAAGCATTAGCATCCACGCTTCTAGGGATGAGGAGCACAAAATAAATGGCAACCGAGATAATCTTGATTGTTGGTTATTTTTATATGAAACAGACGAGTCGTCGCTCGCAACGACTTACTGCGACGATAAAGTCAGGCCTTTGCGGACTACTGAGAGGTGTCTCGTAGTAGATTTCCGGTCTTTACGCCGAAAGTACGCATCGATGTTCTGACTCGAAATAAGTTTAATTACTGAAAAGCCGACGTGGATCAAGGGCAAAGACGCACTCCGTTCTGTGGTGGGAGCTTATTGCCTGACGGCTTATGCACAGGGCACAAAACCTTGGAGTGTTGGATAACTATAAATAGGTAATTTGGGCCCCAAATAGTTCAATTTATCCACCGTTCGGAAACGTGTTCTCGCTTTTATTTTCGATCATTATTAAACAATTACAAATTGCCATGGAGAAAAATCTACAGCGGGCAATGATAGTTGCGGCGACGCGCACCCTGTGTAAGTAAGGGTTAAGTTACCTACGGTTACCTAGATAAGAACAACACTAAAGTCTAATTTATCGTAAATTGTGAGTGTTTATACTGTACAATGCATAAGATATAAAGCTTTCAGCGACTGAACGCAGCACGTCATATAAGCACACCGTTCGATAAGCATCATAATTTACTGACACTTAATTGGTAATTACCCAACAAAGCAATAGAAGGAGGCATAAATATAATCCAAGCTATTGTTAGCACATATGTATCGGCGTATTCCATCAACGTGTCAATACCGTAATGCATTTTGGCCATGAAAAATGGACCGGTCCGGCTGAGTAGAACGCTTTCACAAGCTTCCATTCAAACACTATAATTCTAACTATCATAGGCACAGTCGCCTGAACGTTTGGTATTCCCACTGTTGGGCCTACGAGCCGAAGCAAAGTCAGTCGTTCATAATGCTCCATAGATGACCATAACAATTTCAGGTAGCAACACTGACGATGTCTATTGGATAATTACATTAGTTCAGTGTCGGAATAATCGAACATGAAGATACATACTTTATTTTAGCGCGTGAAGTTTTAGTGATCTGGTCCAATTTTCAGTAATACATAATCTAACGATTTCTGTTACCGAATAAACAACATTTTGTCATAGCATTTCTGTTTTTCCTTCCAATCGCTTCTCTACCTCTGTGCCGGATTTCGCGTATCTTACAAGGTTATTTGACGGCGATTGAGGTTTGTTTTTTAGGTCATGGCAACGAAGCTTCATTTCCGAAACATACGACTCTGCTAAATTGAGATAGAACTTGTTTGGAACTAGCCGACTTTTTATGCCTAAATCCAGTCACAGTAATTTGCAGGCGGCAACAACAACAACAACAACAACAACAACAACAACACTTGGGAACATTAGAAACACTCTAGTAATGCACATTATGGATTGCGTGTTTCAAGATTATAGCGCTCCACAAAGGTGGGTAGGCCTGCTCCCACCTAGTGCGCGTGAGATCACCTCGGTGGTGTGATAACGATGACGATGACGATGATATGGAAGGTGCCCATTTAGAGAAACTCTCACTGAACCGTAGATATTCGCAACAGCGCAGCATAGCAGAGCCCACAATAGAACTTCACGAGCCTATTGGGTCAGGTGTGAAACGGGTTCTGGTCTGCGGTGATGATCTTGACGTCCGACAGATTCGACAGCCAGATATTCGGACCCTCTCTCACTAAGACAAATCGCAGTAGTGCTAGAAGGAGTCGGCTTACACCAAGCTTAAGTATTATGGTGGAGCCCGTTCAAGCCAAACTAAGCACCTTTTGAGGTTTTCCCAATTTCTTGACAGATCCGGGAGATATCGGCAGATCCGGTTTTGTTACCTGTTAGACTACTTTCCCGTCCCAGTGATGCTGCGCTGATAACACGTCTGTCTGCCTTCGAGATCTGGCGACACATGACGTACCGCAGGTCCGAAGCCGGAAGTTTGAAACATTTTCAAAAACTATTCTGGACAATTCACCGACCCACATCGGGTTGAAACAGGACATCTATTGCTAATAATTTTTGTACAATCAAACTCGTTTTTGTTTATTCTCGAGATTCGGCCACGTAATCATGCTAATGAGAATAATATATTTCAACAGCTACACGAATTATGCATCCACCGGTATGATCATCCTTTCCAGATAAATTAGAATATCTACTTCGGACGAATCCAATCACAGGTGCCAATCTGCTGTAATTTAGTCTTTGGCTTCTTTTTTTCTGAAGAGCTACGTCGCCGGATATACTGCCTGCACTAGAGTGCAACGTTATCTGTACAGGCCACAGCGGCCTACCGTGTGTGCCTGAAAATAGCAACGACAATAATCTGCCCTGCGAAGCTTCAGCAGTGATCTTTTTTAGGCTCATGGAAAACTTTATACATTCTGTAACACAATTATTTGACATGCTGCATTTCGTTGTGTGATTCTAAATAAAATTATTTTTTGCTATATTTCTTCAGATGACGGCTCACATTGGACAGCTCGAAACTGGGCGACACTCTGCAGCCTCGCTTATTGGACCATCAACCATGAGAACCTGTCGAGCTGACCTCTACGCAATCGCTTGGGAAAAAAACTGTCCATTTTGAGCATCTCACATTCAGATAAAAGCTGTTTTACTTGACCCGGAGACCCAATATGCACATTTGAATTGAATTTAATTCATTGATTACACAAGAATCGAAAATTTCTCTATTTGATATGCTTGATCGGTGCTTTATGTCGAACCGAGCACGGCCGTATTAAGAAACCTAGAAGTTATTAGTAATTAACTTATGAGAGTTCACCCACTAATATGTATGGGGCGTTGTTGATGTCCTTCTATATGATATACGACCTACTGTGCGGTCACGCATTATGGCCTTACAATGTATTTGATTATAAACACTTGTGTTTATAAGAAAATTATGAACACCCCATAAATTCTACTATGCTGTTGGGAAATTAAATCTGGCACACGAGTTAAAGGCCGTGGGGCTCATAGATGTTGGTGCACACATTGTAGC